ACTGCACTGCTTGCTGGTCGGGTGAGCGTGATGACGAGCGAGCTGAAGATTCCTGGCCAGATTCCTCGTGACCTCACATCCATGAACCGACCCGGTCGTGCGGAAAATAACCAACCCAAGGGCAGCAATGCATTCATGCACCGACAGGTGATGAGCAAGAAGAGCCAGTGAGAGGGACAGATCGATAGACCGAAACAGAGACCGAGACACAGGGACAGAGATCCAAGCATCCACACAAACACACGAAAGAGTTTCCCCTCTTTACCCTGTCTCTCGTTCCCCTTTTCTGGACCTCTGGACCCCCTTTGGGTGGTTCGGCTCCGTTGTTGGTCAGTCGGGTGAAAGAACGGGTGTGAGGTTGAACTCATGCGCTGTAAATCTCGTGGTACGGCGGTGCCAGTGGCAAAGGTCAACTTCAAGCAAAGATCCGAACGGTAATATTACTGTTCCTGAATTCCGACGGGTAAAAATTATTTCTGTTCCTTCCCCGTATTTTGCCAAAACAAGGATTCCGATCCCCTGTTGGACCCTCGTTGGACCCGTGCATGCACATCTCGATCCTGCTCAAACACTCCCATTCCACTCCTCACATCTCTCTTGCTGGCAGCAACCATCATTTGCAGTTGCACCTGCACCAGCCGTGCCAGCACGACCAGAACAATCCTCTCATTTGATTCGCAAGAGATCGAGGACGGCAACGCTGGTCTTCAGCAATCATGCGGGCCTCTGCTGCAATGAAGCTCGTGTCAGCGGGCTGCACAGCGATACTGGCAAGCATGCCAGCTCCCGCTGCCGCCGAGAAGCACATTTTCGACTTGCGCACCGGGAACGACTTCGGGAGCGACGCTAATTGCGGTGAGATCGAACTACTGTGCAGCAGCGAGCCGCACCACTGGCCAAAATAACGTAGAATACCTGGTACAATCAATTCTCCGCACAGTCTCTCCCACACACGACACACCGGGTGCTCTGCGTTTACCTAGAGAAAAAGGTACATCCACCTGTCCCTCGTACTACATGTTCACAGAAATGATCTTGACCACGATGATCCTGTTCTGCCCTAGCAGCTTATGTAGGTATGGACGGACGGAAATACGTCCACGGCGAGAACCACCAGTCTGTCAGCGGTGTAGATTATAGTCTATACCCCTCGGCAGCGCCCAAAACGCTCCATATTGCGCTCCACCAAATACCAGTGCCTCTTACAGAGGGCACATGCCATGCCCGTTGCTTCCATGTTCTGTCAGGCCTTTGGAGGCACTGGCAAATCTCGTAGAATTACGAAGTATATGCAGCAAGTGCAATACTACTATTGTGGGTGTTCTTAGTGATGATGAAGATTCGGCGGGTAGAAAGCCACCGATGTCACGCATTGTTGTGTGTTGTGCGTTCTATCCAACCATCGTCGCAAACGCCGTAAGGGGGCATACACCATTGGATCAAGGTGCTGATATATTAGGGATAGGCTGCGGTAAGCTCGGAGAAATGTTTCGATGAGCCGATGCTGCCGGTGTACACAACAATGCCGAGATATTATTTTCCTCGAAGTGGATTTGGTGGGCCTACTGCACGCATACGGTGCTGCAGGGATTTTTAGGTGTACCTCTTCGGGCTCTTGGATACCATTTTCTCGTTATATGTGTGCGTGTTCTTTAGATCCTCAGATGGCTCTAGCACTTTCGTGACCACGGACTGAGAGTCTTTGCTAGATTTTGGCATTAGCAACTGACATACGGTTTAGTGTGAAGACAACAACAACAACAACAACAACAACAACAACTGCGGCGGCCGGTGGTCCCGCCCAACCTTCCGAACATATCCCATTCTTGTTGTGACCATCGGCCCAGCACCGCATTGACTTGAGACTGGCCCAAAACGTAGGTTAAAATACACGCCGGCAAACATGCACGAAGTAGTATTTTCCCTCGTTCATGCTATTTTCCATTCTCTTTTGCCTAGACTAGACTACGTAGCTTTATATAGCTAGTCTGTATTCGAAGGTCTTCGATCCGGTTTAACAATGCAGACTCACGTGGCATGCTTTTGTTGTGTCGGGTCAAGTCTCGACTTGTCGACACTACTCCCTTCTCGTGCCCACCAAAGGGTCGTACACACACGAAGTGTGTCTCTGTTTCGCCATGCACCCGCCACTAGTCCGAATTCTCGCAGATGAGGGCGCGCAAGAGGGGAAAAAATGAACCACATAGCTTGGGGTTCGATGCCAAATCGTAGCTCTGTAGCTCTGTCGATTCCAAACAGTCGTTCTGTTAGATAAAGTTACACCATTAGACTAGTTACACCATTGTGACTAGTCAGCGCTGACTAGTCTAATGGTGTAACTTTATCTAACAAAAGATATACGCTCAGCTCGTTAGCACCCGGCTGGATCACTTGGGTTTAGAGCTTATTGAGAGCAGGGATCTCCGGGGCCGGACCCCTCGCCAGGCGCTGACTGAGAAGAACATACTGGTGCTTGGGAAGGTGACCTTCCCAAGCACCAGTATGTTCTTCTCAGTCAGCGCCTGGCGAGGGGTCCGGCCCCGGAGATCCCTGCTCTCAATAAGCTCTAAACCCAAGTGATCCAGCCGGGTGCTAACGAGCTGAGCGTATATCTTTTGTTAGATAAAGTTACACCATTAGACTAGTCAGTGTTCAGACTAGTCAGTGTTCAGACTAGTCAGCGTTAGACTAGTCTAATGGTGTAACTTTATCTAACACGTTCCATATTCTGTGCGCTGCATCCCAACAGAAATCCGCAAGCAGTACAGGGCGTGGTGCATCCCGCGTTGTTTCCTTCATTTTCCGATTCGAGCCCCTTCTTCCTGTACTGCTTGACGACACATACTCAAGACATATGATCGTTGTACCCATGGCTGCCTCCCTTTCGCCGCTGATTTCCACAGAGGATTCCGAGACCAAGAAGACACGGTATCTCCAGATTGAGATTTTTGACTACAACAAGACGCCCTGGCTGGAAATTACTTGGAGGTATGGCGCGTCTCGTTCACCGCCACTTCCACAACCACGCCCCAGCTCGCCGTTGTTATTGTTCGGTTCATTTTGATCAATAGATCTACAAGGTGTGCATGCCGCTCGTAGATACATAGTGTTGAGAGCATGTGCCAGAAATGCCACACGATATTTGACTTCAAGAAAATAGACCTTAGTGTCGCATAGTTCCGCGAGCCGTTGATGTCGCTGATATGAATCAAGGCAAGTGATTGGCCCGGTCTCTTCACTCAAAGTGCGACAGAAGCCTTGTTGCACGACCAAAGGAGGTAGAATACAAAGTCTCAGAGACACATGACAACGGCAGCAATGATTGTGGGCAGAGCACAGCGGGTTCGCTTGTCAAACGCGTGCCTGGTACACCTGGTAGATTGATTCTGGGTTTTCGAAACTTAGTTTGCGTTCCTTTTTTGTCAAGTCGATTCCCGGTTTCGTTGAGATGATTTTTTTCACCAAACCCCTCAAAACCCCACTCAATGTTGCAGGCAGCTGACCGACGAGTGCGGGAACGCCATCAGCGATGGCTTCGAAGGGAAGGCGCACTACAAAGACGGAGACAGACAGGACACCTCCAAGTATGAACGTACCTTTTGTGTCCACAACTGTGCTGAGTCCATTCTGAATGCCTGTGATGGAAGCGAGATCGTGCATTCCTCAGACTCCGCAAGTGTTGGTCGGTGTCAAAGAACTCGGACTTTTTCGCGCCGTCTCCAAATGTCACAATGAATCGCGAAACGATGGATAAGGGTAATCAATTGCACATGTTGCAGGCAGTTCACACTTTCTTTTCTCCCTGTTCAACCAACTTTAGATCGTTCCTTTTCCTCGAGGGATGCAAGCGTATCGGCTTTGGCGGGCGATTTTCGCCGGTTCGAGCTGAAGGCGATTTTGTTGAATGTGATTCAGCCTTCGTTGATACTCATGCAAGTTTTCCCTCCACCTCTGCATATGTGCTGCAGCTACCTTCTTCCGTAACGTGGTTTTCGCACCAACGTGTTCTGAAATTAGGACAAACGCCGCTGGACGCTACTCATTCGTTACTCGTTGCTTCCCGCGTGTCGTTCCCGCAGGTTCCAGATCGACATGTACGTCTGCGCTCCGTGGGGACACTACGAGCTGGAGGTCGTCTCCAAGAGCACGAACGACGGCAACCCTATGGAGAGGATCGCCTTCGAGGTTGAGTACGGCCCGGAGCAGGTACGGCCGGCGCACGTCCTCTTGCACCGCAGATACGAATTGCGGCCGCAGTGTCGCTCCGTGTCGTAGCAGACAATGACGTTTGTTTGTGTGCCGCTTGCTTGCCCGCAGCCACAACTGCCGCAACAGTTCGCTCCGTATTGTGGCCTGCAGAGACCTAGATATGTTGCTTGCTTCGCTGTTGCTAGTCACGAACGACAACGACACTCTCTCTTCTGTCTGTGTTCTGTCCTTAGCTGCTGCCATCGCTCTTTGGTTTTCCGGTTTCTCTGCCCCCCTTAGCCCGCGCCCCCCGCTCACTCGCGCACGCGCGAGCCCCACTCAGCGCTGGCTGTGTACTTGTTCCGCGTTGGCCCGGTCTCTCGGACCGGTGGCCACGAGCATAATGTTTCCTGTATAATCCCATTCAAATATGTATTTCGAGCAAAACAAAACCTGTTGGTTATTGCTCCGTACAGCCTAACTGTTTCGCGCCGAACCAAGCCTGACGAAGCACGAGAGACAGACGCGGAACCAAAATAAACCCTCCCGGAAAATCCAACGGTGAGGTATTACCGAAACGCCAGCAAGACAAACCAAACCAGAGAGGACCGTTGTTGCCTATGTTCCCTCCTGCAATTTCCGATTTTTGATTTTTCGCCATCATTCCTCCGGAGTGTAACTTGGGACGTCCCCAAGTACCCCAGTATTCAATACCCTCCCTCCCAAACGTGTAACTCCACAACTCCCTCCTGTTTCTCCGTGCTATCAATCGCAGTACCACATCTGGGACTCCCTGAACACCCCGTTCTTCGACGAAGACAACCCCCCCAGCGACTATGCCCCCATCCCCACCAAGTTCAACGACGGCATCGACGAAGGTGACACCTTCACGTGGCCCCTCGAAGGCGCCGAGGGCTACTACTCCGTCATGTACTCGGGCCCCTTCCCGCCGCTGGAGTGCCCAAACCTGTACCCCGCGGGCGTCGCCTACGTGGGGTGCTACCCTGCCGGCATGTTCGGCGAAGCCGAGGGCCCCGAAGGTGCCACGAATACCACCATCTTTGTAAGGCCCTCTGTGTGCCGTTGCTCTGCCACTCGGCGTTAGTGTAAGGTTGCGTTTTTCTCGAGGCCTACATGCACATTGACTGTACTTGAGATTCTTCAAGGCCCTTCGAGGAAGCCCTTCGGCGTGAAAACGACGTGTTCGGTGGCAATGAACACCCTGGGGCATTCTCGGAGGCGTTTTTATTTGTACGGGGTGGTCCGGAAAGAAAGAAAAAACTGGTGCACTTCTCGTTTTTTTTTCATTTCACCGGCAGCATGTCTTGGGGGCAGCAGGCGTTGTCATGGCTCTGGTCGTCCTCAAGCAGCGTTGCCGCAACGAACGACATCGAGCTCTCTGTGCATGCCCCATGAGGCGGCCGAAATATTATTTTCAGGCGAAATCTGACATGCCGGGCGGGGGGTCTCACAGGAAGTTTCGGTCCCAAGACGAGGGTTGTTCTGTCACCTGTCCTTCCGCTCCCCAATCCCTCTAAGGATCGAGCGTGCCTTGTCAGCGACGCAAAGATTAATTCCCCCCGTCCCCGTGTGTGTGCGCCGCCTACAGGCAGCGCCAACGGCGAAGACCCCGCCGAGAACTACCGCCTGTTCGACGGCATCGACGACGAAGGTGTCGCAGCTGACAAAGTCATGACTCTTGAGGTGGGTGGGTTTATTCTTGACGGCACAGGGGAGGCCGCCACGTAAACTACCAGTACAAAAATGCGGATGTATTCCGCGGAGCGGGGAGTGGAAGTTGAAGGCGCACGCTTTCAGGAAGAATGCTGTTATCGATAAGAGGGCCCACGGTTGTAGGTTTAGGTTTCTATGGAAGACCAAGCGGCAAACGTGAGGCAGGGAGGCTAGGACTCAACAAGCTGTTCGGTTGCGACAAGGGAAGGGCATGCTCCAACTACGTGGTGATGCGAGAGCGTTATTTTCTCGTGACTCATCCTCAAGATGGATCCCTTGACAGGTTTCGCTGATATGGCAAGCGCTTGAACTATCTGGTGCTTGCGTTTATCGTTCGCACATGCGGTGTGAATTTCGCTTACTCTCGCCCTCGCTGAGGGTGCGCGCACGTTGCGCGTTCGTGTGTCATGTCTCAGCCGTTGTTTCGCTCCTGTTCTCCCCTTCATAGACCCGCACTCGATCGTTTGGTGTTCTCGAACGGAACCTACCCATCATGATTCTCTCCTCGTCGCCACCCTGTCCGACAGAAATGTGCAGCAATCTGCACCGAGCAAGGAACAGCCTACTTCGGGCTCGAGTCTGCGGTGAAGGTGTGTGTGCCGACCCCAAGCCGATGATCATTGTTTCCGCGGCAAAACAATAAGTCCAGACGCGTCGTGCGCAACGTTCGTCTATTTTGACGGGTCGCGAGGGCAGCCACTTGGCAGATTCCTTCCGAAAGTAGTCGATGCCTAGATAGTAACGCGATGCGCTGCGCGGGTAGGTTGGGAAGACCCTGTGGTTCGCGGGGCAGTATGTCAAGTACCAAACAGCGCCCGTGAAAACAGGCATGCCTTGGGATCGACTTGGTGTGCTTTAATGCATGTGAGAGAGGCAGCAGAAATAGACACAGCCGACAGACAAATGGAGAGAGGCCCGCGTAAGAAATCCCCTTGCTTCTTCCCGACCTGACCTGACCTGACCTACGTGCCTACACTCCAAACCGGCGAAAACCCTAACGCGACCACCGTAAATCAGTGCCTGTGTGGAGACGAGCTAGACGGTAGCCCTTACGACGACGTTCGCGGCGAGTCCGTCTGCGGAGTCGACTACACCGACGACGTCAACATCCCCGAGTACAAGTTCCTCTGCTCGGGAGAGAGCACGGTACTGTGCGGGACTGACACGCACATGTCGGTGTACTCCCTCAATGAAGACCGCGGAGCGAACAATGACGGAGACTATGAGCTCATCGGATGTCGCGTGGATGATCGTGAGGCTCGGGTGAGTGGGAGGAGGGTGAATTCCAAGATGGAATAACTCCATCACGTAACTTCGGACGAGGCGGGGGCCACGACTAAAAACAACGTATCTCCTCTGACGTCGCGGGTGCCGTGTGCTGCTGCTGCTGTTGCGTGCTGCTCATGGTTTCACAACGTAACCCGCACTGATTGATGTCTTCCACACCAACGACAACATAGCATATGTCTATTTCCAAAGGAAAAACAAACAGCTCGGATGGCACCCCGACCCTTCCGCTTCGCAACGGCGAAAGATCAACAGTGACAACGGCATCCACATGCGTTGGTGTGTGAGAAGTGCGAAGGAAGGAAGGGCGACCCTTAAGACTAGGTTGAGCATTATACCCCAGGGCCACGGTAGGTGCTTGAAGCAACCACTTGGTTTCCCCCCCGCGTTTCGCACGATATCACATGTCGTACTAAACCTTTTTCGTCATCGTCCCCGCTGTGCATCGAGTGTGTAGGTGATGTCAGTGGGGCCAATCGAGGGAGACGCCATGTCCGCGGAGGTGAGTCGGCCGGTGGAAATCGCCGCTTGTTCGTGTCTCTGTAGCATTCTGTCCCTTACCGAGGAACTTTCAATGTAAGTATTGGATTCGATGAGGCCTCCTGCACGCCAAGCAGGTATCCTGATCTATTACGGCACCCTGCGCTGAGGAAAAACACGGTTGTGTCGGACATATTGAGGCCGGGAAGAATCTCTTACGCGCCGCGGCTATGGGTCAATCTCGGAAGTCTTCTCACAACACATGTTCTGCGCTTCTATCCCGTCGTCCTTGCTGGCTTCGCTGTTGATCCTGCAGATTTGCTTCGACATTTGCCGCGAACTGCACCCGACGTCCACCCACTTCGGGACACAATACGGAAACGAGGTATGCAATATGTGGCTTGATATGCGGTTGCTGCTGCTGCTACCGATGTTGATGATGGTGTTGTTGCTCTTCTTCAACTACTGTGGCTGGTCGTGATCCTGCGATGCTGGTTGTCTTCCTTAGGAGCGGACATACACGATGAGCGATGTAGTCTATCTGCCATTCTTTCGGCAAGAAAAGTCACGTACTGCTTTCGCGCCTTTCGCCGAGCTTACAAGCAGGTTTCCAATGGCCCGAACTTGCTACCGTACGTTTTCACCCTTCTTGCGCATCTAAGGCTCATGTCCCGCCCCCGCCCCCCTTCTCCGCTACAACGTTTACTGGATGCAGTGCTTCTGCACGGACGTGCTTGGGGAAAGCGCGGTGTCCACGGACTGCACCTACGATTGCATAGGGAACCCGGATGAGACCTGCGGCGGGTTTGACAGGATCACGGCGTACCGGATCGCGGGCTCCGAACCCAGCGCGGGGGATGGCTACGTTTCGATCGGCTGCCTGGCAGACAAGAACGGTGACAGGATCATGGATAGACGCATGGTGACCTCTATACCCATGTCAGCCGAGGTGCGGTGCGGGAAGTGGCGGCTGTAATTGTCCTCGGGTACTTGCTTGTTCAAGTTGATGGTGCGCCACCGAAAACGCAAGATCTTCACACGCCCTCTTGGCACCCCAAATATTCCAGCCAATGACTGAAAACTCTCTCAGACCCGTATTTTCTGTTCAATAAACTCTCTTAAACCGTAGCCACCACTGTGTTCCGTTGCAATACTTTTCAAGTGGCAACCTGAACTTTCATCGGCTACTGTGGAATGTGAACAATGCTCGTCGTCCGTTCCGGAATCACTGTGTAGCCAAATTTCGAATAATCAATTGCGGAAGGAGCAAACGTGGTACAATATGACTGTCGCTTCCTCCTGGTATTATTGTCCAATGTGCCTTTGCCGCCAGTAACTCCCCTCCTCACTGCTTTGTTTGTCGCATATTGTGATCATCACGGTGTCAAGGCTTGTTTTTTGCTTCTTGTTTGATGCTGCTATTGTCCGTGTTGCATGCGTGCGCGTGGGTATGCGTTCGTTCGTTCGTGCGTGCGTAGATCTGCTACGGGATTTGCAAAGACGGAACAAACACGCACTTCGGCACCCAGTGGGGTAAAGAGTGCTTCTGCCTAGCGGACGCCGACTTCGAGAACATGGACAAGCACGGCGGCGAACTGTCCACTGCGTCTCACTGCCAAATGGGTTGTGCCGGGTTTACACACCGCGATGAGAAGTGCGGCGGTTTTGATGAAATGTCGGCGTATGAAATTATCCCCGAATCTAAGGTGAGACGACTGACACGCTGGGCGAGAGTTTAAAAACGGAACGGGGGGATGCGGCTGCGGTGAAAAAATGACCGGCTGTGCTTTTTTCAAGATTGTTTGGTGGGTAGACTTCAGGGAGCCCGAGGGAACACTTATGACACAAATACTCGGGGGTGAGGGGGCTTTGACAGAAAAATAGTGGAGTATTTTGCAGACGTTCACACGGATACTTTCCGTGTAGATAGGACATGTTCTACATCACGTTTGCCAGAGGGACGCACCACGCGCTGGGTCGACTTGTGACAAAATTAGCTACATAGTAGATAAGAGCGTCCGATCAACAGTTGAGAATAATCGACTAGTGTTGTTCGGCAGGTACCGGTGATCGATGGCCCCTACACGGCACTGGGCTGTTTCGAGGACCCTCGCGACGGAGACAAGGCGATGGACGCGTTGTTCACGGACGCTACGACAATGTCGGCTGACGTGAGCACGGATGATGTATTGGAAGTTTTCAATATCCCCAGACTTCGAATACATTCGTCTCGCACAGTCAACCCTGCTCACGAATAACAAGTCTCCAGCACCAATATATACCGATATCAGCATAAACTTCAGGGATAAAATAAAAGCGGAGCAGCGGAACGCGGTGACATGTTTCTGAAGTTCAACGTGCATGGAGTACGCTGAAATGAACAAAACGCGGAATGCAACACCCACCTGTTCAAAAAAATGAGACGATCCAATTGTTTGTGAAAGCGAGAGTGCCGTAATACAAAGCCACATGGGGCATTCCAGCGATGCGGCAGCTGAGGCTGAAGCGTGCTCGTAACGTCTTGCCCAAGCTAGCCCTTGACGGCCGAACGCCTCTTTCCCTTGTCCGGGCCTCACCCCTCGGCATATTGACTTTTCCCTCGTGTGTTTGAAGATATGTTATTCTATCTGCATGGAGGAGGACCCTGACTATGAGTTCTTCGGCACGCAATGGGGGATTGAGGTATGTCGCTATATTTTTGGATGGGTGTGGTTGTAGTTGTCGTAGGCGGTGTTGGCACGTTTTTTCGCTCATGTTGTTGCGACATCTCGCGATGTCCAATCAATGAAACCATTACCCTCACCAAACCTACAGAACACGGGCCTTACGTCGTTACATGGGTTGTGGTTAGTGTTGGCCGGTCAAACCGTCGTTGACTGCTTCCAAGTACTTGGCAGCATAGGCGGCGTATTCTGTTTCACCATCTATCGCAATCAGCATCGTAATCACGCCCACCGCTCCCGACTCCGTCCTCAAATCACTGAACCAACAGTGCTGGTGCTCGAAGACCTTCTCGCGAGAAGATGCCGGTGCCGTATGCAACATGTTCTGCGCGGGTACCTCCGATGGCGAGATCTGTGGCGGGTTCGACAGCATCAATGCCTTCCGCATGAACTGAAGGAAGTAATGATCCCCCGGGTTACGGTTGCCAGCCATTCGCTGAACGCTGTGTACCTGCAATAACTATCGATTGTAGAAAACGAAGCAACAGTCACATATTGCAACAGGATATCGGCGAGCAGCTTGTTGGGTGAACTTGCTGGCTACGCGACGAAATGTTTGAGACATTGACCTTCGATTCTGTAGTGCTACACGGCAATCCTAAAATGAGGGTTCACAAATGAATAGTCCAAAGTTGAAGACTTCTCCGTTGGGGTCGTCGTACTCGCTTCGAATGGATGCCCGCATCTTGAGCATAGGAACGGAACTACTGCAACCAGTTGTATGCAATCTCTTTCGATCTGCGTGCTACACACGCGCATGGCTATGTAGTGAACCAGAACGGCACCCATCAGTTGCGATGGTAGAAACTGATTTCTTGTTTGATTGTTTGAAGGTCACAAAAATGTGAAAGAGTTGGTGAGAGATGTAATGTATGGATCGATTTTTTTTTCTAGAGTGGTGCTCTGGGGTGGGGTACGTGCGAGGAAAATACACAACATATCGAGCGTCTGGAGTTTGTGTCCTTTCATTCTGTGTCGTTAGCTTTCCGGCCATGATGTGAGCAGACAGTTTGGTGAACACATACGTTCGTTGGTGGTAGCTTGTGTCGCAAGAATAGGCGATCTGCCCTTCTCGTGATGGACTTGAGTGCTGGTTGTTTTGGATAGACTGGAGAATGCCGTGTTTTCTTGGAGAGCTTGCTGGCAAACGTTGTACTTCGAAGTAACTGTTTTGTTGAATTATTTCGCACACGCACTCAGTTGGAAGGGCGGCGATGGCAATGAAAATATGTGGCCATGTCACGCGGAACATTAATTGGTATATAAACGTGTGCATAGATCGTGCTCGTTCGCAGAAACAGTGCCACCGTGTCCAATGAAATAGTTGTTTTAAGCGCACCGATTTTTCGTCTCATCGTCGGGATCTATTTTCAGAAAGTGAAAGGAGGTACTGCCTGATCAGTTTCTTTTTTGTTTTGTAGAGTACGTCGTTTCGCAAGAAAATAGTGAAGGAGTTCGCTGTTGTATGCTTGACACCGTGTTCAATCACTTGGTGTAAGCATTAGATTGGATGAAGCAGGAGGTCCTCGCCCCTGGGTATCGCCGCGGTGACATGCCTATATGTAGGCAAATGACGCAGGTGAAATATCAACTACTTCCTGTTGCATTCTGACAACGTTGTCGATCACTTGGCGTAAGTTTTTGATTGGATTAGGCCTCCGCCCCCCCTGACTGGCGGGCCTACTCACACTTCCGCTGAATTCACCTACATCTTCCTCGACGTCAGGCCGGGGGACGGGTTACAGCCTCGCAAGCCCCACAACTTTCTTGAAACCGGCCGCCGGGCGCGTCGAGAATCGCTCAGCCAAGTCGGGGTCCGACGGCGTATCGTTAGCCTCTGCGGAACCTCTAACTTTTTTGCAAATATCTCCCCACGGGTCGCTGTTCGTTCCCACTGTCCGGGCTCAAGGCGCCCAGCTTCTAAATGTTCCCTTTATTACGACACCGCGCAAAACGTTCCGAAAACACCTCCGACGGGCACAACTCCAATATTGTTGCCTTTCCACGGCCCCCGGCTGGCGCACAAGTCATCATTCGGCCGAAGCCAACATGTGATCCCGAGATACGCCCAAGAATGTGACCGCAGCACGACCTCGCCGATGTCGTAGATAAGTGCGTGTTTACGACACCGCGCGAAACTTTCCCAAAAGACCTCCAACGGGCACAAACCCAGTTACGCTCTGTTTTCATGGCCCCCACCTGTCGCGCAACTCATCTTTTGGTCAAACCATCATGTGGTTGCCGAGATACGCCCAACACTGTGGCCGCAGCACCACCTCTGCGGTCCCGTAAGGCTTAGACTATGTACGACACCGAGACCATATCCAATGGGATATTGCTGGGTTCCAACGGCCACCAGCTGTCGCGCAAGTCGCCATCCGACCGAAACGAACAAACCGTTGCTGCTACACATTTAGACCTAGGTATGTTGTCATTTTTAGGGCGGCCGACCTAGGGCGCCGGTTGGATTGGCTGCATTCTCCACAAAGAAGACTATCTCCATCACCGCATATATGCCAATGGGAAACCTGGCCACCTTGGAAAACATTTTCGTCAGCACTTTGGCCAGCACAGGTCCATAGGCGTTGTGGAACGGCCCCGACTACCACGACGTAAGCGTAAACCTCGGTGGTGGAAGGAGGGGGAGGCGAAGGTACCACCTGTGTCATGCACCAACGTCAGCAAGAGCGTGAGGGTCGGAAAATGCTTCGGACGGTGCATAACCGTCGGAGAAGGGCGATTGTGCGGGAGCGGAAGATGTGGGTTGACAGATGATATATTGTTTTCCGGTCACGGTTGGTGTAGGTTACTTTGCCGAATACCGCCGAATCTGCTTCAAATTTCATCGACGGAAGGAGTGTGTCGTGTTCCACTCAAGTACTGAATAGCAGAGTTTGGCCTTCAACTGATGCACATGGGTTCGCTTGACGAGGAAGCCTCCTCGAAGGTGACAGTGAATCATGAGTTATGCCTCTGATTTGCCAACAAGGGAGACCTGCGTGTCGGAGTCGGAAATCGGTGTAACAACGGGACTTCGGACACAGCCAGCCCTCAATGTCTACGTCATGGACGAGAAGGAGTAGAATTCTCACGAAGGGGAGCAAACGTGAAACAGCATGTTTTGGAGAAGTCGCGGCTCAGTTTGGCACCGCAGTAGCTACAATTATCAAAGGGCCTTGACTATCAATGTCATCGGCAGGAATGAATGAGATAACTTCAATGACATGGCACCAAGCGTTTTGGGGTATCAAAATATTTGAAATACGTTCGATAATTCGATCACCGTGTTGTGCTACCGAAAACGCAGTCACGTTTCAGATGCATATGGGTCCTCTGGATGAGTGACCCTCCTCGAAGCTGAAAGTGAAACCAATTTTGCACACTGGCGCCCTGCGATGTTATCCTTCTGATTCGATCTAACAAGTGAGAAGATATGCGTGTCGGAGTCGGGACTCGGTTTTAGACCGGGACTTCTGACACACAAAGCCCTCAAGATGAATGTCATGGACAAGCAGGAACGAGTGAAATTATCTCGTAGGGTTCCGACCGTGAAGCAGCATTTTTGAAGGAGTCGGGACACGGGACACCGAACGCCTGCCTGTGAATGTCATCGGGAAGAACGAATGAGAACGAGTGAACTTCATGAACACGTCGGGGGTGACCCAAACAGCAGATAGTCTCAGAATTTCGAGGCGGGGGTCGTGATAAATTGCTTGTACGCGCAAAGGGCGAGAGCGTACTCTGTCTGATGTTTCGCATGCCTTAGCGGTTAACCATTGAAAACAGTTCCTCGAGAGGACACATCAATGTAGGCCCGATCACAAATGGCCATTCGCTGTTTCCTTGTTCGAAGTACAAGTACTTTGCCCAAGGTGGCTCAACAAATTTGTCCCTCGCCTATCTATCCTATCAATATCACTTCTGGAAGTGAAAACGGTGTACCTTGAGTGAGATTCTCCACGTTGAGTGAAACTGTGCACGAAGATGTAGCGAAAACCCGTGGAGAAAAGTGAAACATACGGAAGTGCCGGTAGGGAATTCAGACATTGAAGAAGAAAAAACCTCTTCGAACTCACTACGCGGACCGAAAAAATTTCAAAGAAACCTTGGACATGAATGCATTTGCACCCCAATCCAAACCATTTTCGTGTATTAGTGAAGCTAGACAGGCATGTTAGGTGAACCTTCCTGGACTTTATGTGTAATATATGGACTGCGCGCTCAACGAAGTGAATCCTCGTGCGAGTGTTTTCCTTGACAATCTCTCTCTGGGGCATGAACGTGACCACGATAGCTGGAAACACATCTCGGGTGTTTTTGCTGAACGTTTACCCACCTTGGCCTTGGTAGCCGATGTCATAAACCGACACGGGATCGAATGCGGTTGCCCACAAACAATGCTACATCGCCGAAAAGCGGGTGTCGTGTGTTGTAGCGAAATGGTGGACCACAGGATAAGCGACAGAAAAATTCGTCCGCACCAATAATCGCCGTCGACTGATTGCATCAATTTCGTTGTTCACTTCAATATACACCACACCTACGTAGTTGTGCCCAGCAGTGTCCGATCGCCGTCCGGGGTTTCTGGAGCGACCCCCTTGCGGTCTCGCGTTCTCTTTCCCTCGGCCGCAGCGGCATCGCAAGTGCAACAGTTTGGGGACAACAGTGGAGACCTTAAGGATACTAGCTTCTCAGCTTCTCAGCTTCTCCATCTGCCTTAAGGCCATGAGGTGCTCACGATGTCGCAGGACGGCTGCCATCGCTCCCAGTCGTACACTATCCTTGTGGTTCTCGAGATAACTTTGAGCCTCGAGGTCGCTTATTGTTCTCGCCCCACTCGCCGGATGGATGTCATTTGAAGATAATGCATCTCCACTGGTGGGACGAGCCGTTTGCGGTATCCCACCTCTTTGAAGCTCGGTCAACAGTATATCCTCCAGTATCCTCACTTCTTCCAGGAACATGGCCTTACATAGTTCACGCATTGTTGGGTGGAAAGGACGCGTCATTCACCACGACCAGTATTGATTGCTGTCGCAGAAGCACCAGCTGCTGTTGCGTTGTTTGACCCGCGGTGGACGGGAAAGAGACAAGTACTGGTTATATCTCATCTCACCTCTTCGTTGAGGGGTGGATCGTGTTGCACGCGCTGAGCAAGTCCGGTGATGCGGTCTTCGAGCACCACTTGAGCTTGTCGAAGTGCTTCGAGCTTGTAATCGGAATTGGGAAGGGGCGAGCATCAAGCGGACGAGAGAAAAAGTACAGTCGAGGGATCGGTGCAGTGAAACGTGGTGAAAGAATGCTACCGTATGACCTCAAAGGTTCGAGCTGAGAGTTTACCACCTGCGTGCTCAAGAAAACATATCTTGAAGACTTCGTAGACTAGTCTACATAGATAGCTGGTTTTCATTATGAATTACAGGATATGCCCAGATCACTCAAACAAGAGCAGCATTTGGAGAAAAATGATTGGGAGGACTGATGAAGTCTCCGGCGCAGAAGGGAAGAATATCACTGTTCCCTACCTCGGCCAGGAGCGACGAATCGCACTTTGATGACTGCGAAGCGTGGACCGTCCCAATACGAAGGCTGAGGGCTCGAATCTGCTCATCCTGAGACTGAGAAAGCGTGCGGCAGAACGGGGTGGTTTCAAAATCTCACCTCTATCTTCGCTGATAGTGTCACTCGTGAACCAAGTCACTCGCTGGATAAAAGGTGGGGTGATGGTGCATTCTCGAGGGCGTGAGTGTTTATGAAGTAATGAATCAGCAAATAAGAGCAGGTGGTTCTAGCATTTTCGCCAGTGTAGAGTCTAACAGTGGTAGTGTCGAAATTTTAGAATGAACGCCGTCGACATGTCTTCACCCATACTCTTATTTGTTCTGAGAGCCCTGCGGTACGAGTGACCCGATGTATCGGTCCGTGCCCAGATACTTTGCGCGAACTATCAAAGGCCAACGAATTTTCTGTTGTACAAAACAGGTCCACGAGAAATGTTTTTGTGGCACGCCCTTTCGCTGGTTGGTCAACAAGCCTGCGGCGGAAGTTCAAGACACAGGCACGACCAAGATCTCTGAGAACTACATTGAATATAGACTACTGAAACGTTCTAGTCACACATTTGTCCGGCTGTCGTGATCTTCTTGAAGCCCCTTCGTTTGCTCCTCCTGGGCGGCGAGGCGATCCTTCAGCTCGACGATTTCTTCTTCCAGCTGTTTCTCCCGCAAACTCCTGTCCCGGCGCCACTCCTGCAGGGGGACGAGATCCATCAATATTCCTGAGTCTCGGTTTAGATAGCGACACCGTGATGTGGAGTGTGGCTCGAAAATCAAAGTATTGCTAAGCCCTGGTGGCGGGAAAGGGGGAGGGATGTCGCAATGTGCCGTGTTGCGCGTTGTTGGTGATGTTGGCTAAAAATTCTCATCGGTTCAGGGCCCAAGTTATCCTTGGGGTGGCATGCGCAATGTGCTTGCATCTGGTTTTGGGCCAACTCTAGCTTGATTGCCGCCGGCTCTGGGCGAACTGCACAGATCATTGCGTTGCTGCGGGAGAACTGCAGTGTGTAGAGGGAACATATCACATGCTCAAGTCCCGACATCAGTCATATTCTTTGACGCGGAAGTGGCTTTACTCCGTACATCGGACTCGTTCCCGCGATTGACCACTTTCGGACGAGGAATAACAGGATGGGCCAACCTGAGTTTCTCCTCTTTCCTGCGCCGTGCTTTCTTGAACTTTAGCCAAAACCGCGCTCATCCCCTCGGCCCGACCTCGCTGCTCCGTGAGACGGCCCTCCAAGGTGGAAACGTCTCGGTCTTGGGCCTGTGAATTGATACAGCAACCGGGCAACTGGGCACGTAAGATGCGTAGGCTGTGGCAAAGACTGACCAGGTGAAGTACATACGAAGAGGCAAACGTGCTACTGCTCGGGTCATCCAAGCACGACGGAGTAGTAGCTGGTCGCACTCTAGTGCGTCGTTGTAGGTACAGGGGAGCTGCGCACCAGCACGAACTATCAACACTGTTCAAAGAAAACACCATCCACGACCTCAACACCACCGCACATAGCCGGAGTTTCAGCAATATCAACAACGACAACAACCAGGATCAGCACCCAATAACATCAATACGCAACAGCGTACAACAAATTCACACCAGCAATGAATCAAGCCCCCTTTTCGCCATCGCTTCCACCGCTCCCAAGCGGTTGGAGATATGCTCAGAGCTCTCTTGCGCGGAGGCCGACGCTCTTTCGAGCTCCTGAAGGCGAGCGTCTCGAATAATCCCGTTTGCTTGGATGGAGGCGTCAAGGTGCTGTTGGTCACACAGTGCAGGAGAGAGGTATCCGCGAAACAGGCAACAGTTATGCAGTTTTCATCGGGAGACCGGGGGCGAAACCTCGGAAGCTTCAACCTCCGACATTGACTGGGAACACCCACAGATGCGACAAAACGTAGTAGGAGGTATCATTAACGTCGAAACATAGACTATGTGCATTCTCAAAAACAGACGAATATCTTGCGAACGCCTAGAAGTATGAAAAGGAAAACGGCAAGGGACGAGTGTCTTCATTTTCTTGTCCCGGGTGCTTAGAATCAGTCGCCTGATCCCGCACCGATAACCCTTGTCCGGCACACCTCAAAGAGTGTATTGGACAGTTTGTAAAGTGTGGCCCGGGTCGCTATCCACCACCGGAGGAATGACCGTTGATCCCACAGTCAGTTGCGGTGCGAAACAATATTCTTGGCATATCACACACCACATACCGCAACGCACCTGAAACGCGGCTACAAGAGTGGCGAGAAGCCGTGAATGTGACACGGCCTTCCTCCCGGTGGCTACGTCCCTCCAGGCCAATGATGCCGATCTCTTCTCCCGTTCCACCTAGGGTTGCACGACCGAACATCGCACAGAAAATAGACGGAAGCTAAAAATCACCAACGTACGTCAAATGTACATGTGGTCACGCTGTATCAAGTCGTAGCAGCATCGGACCGTGTGTGTCTCGCCGGAGATACGTTAGCCACCCATCACTACGGCGACTCTCGGTGGAACAGCAAGCAATGACAAATGGTCTTCTCCATCGCTGTGCATCATCTGCAGCAGTAGTACCTGCTGGGCAATAATCCCTAGCTGCCGAACCTCTAGGTCGAGGCCGTAAGATAACGAGGCTTGCTTCGTCCAGCCGAAGGTCACCACGTCCACCTTTTGAAGGTATGCACCATGGACGAAGGGTGAGATAATGTCAGTGCATGCAAATATCTACCACCTTCCGATAGGCACGTGACCCCCAAGCGAATAACTCTGCCTACTGTAGATCGCCAGATACTCTTTTACCCGGAGAGACAGGGGAGTGACTCTTGCCGACAACGAAATATGCCGTGATCGACCCGGATGAAGCAACTCGTACTAACGGCTTCCAGGGAGATATTGAAGCGCAGTGTTCCGAATGCATGGTGTGTGGTATCGTGGGCATTACCCATTTAGCGGCTCAAGCGAGACGATTTATCATGTGAAGAGCGAAATGGATAAGGAAATGAAATACTTCGCTCACCTCTCGGACGACCTCCATTGCTTGACTCTTGCCCTGGGCCCCGAGGCTGTCGACGTCTCTGACCATGCCCTCGTCTGACAACACGAGCACCTGATCCACACCATGCACACGGTCTCTCTTGAAACTAGGGCAGCATTCGGTTGGTGCAAAAGTACAGTGCTTGCAAAGACTGCGGCATGTGCGTTAGGCAACGGGGAGGCAAGCTGTAGAATTCCTGCGCAGCATTTATCTTCGTGATCGCGATCTCCATCTTGCCATAAACAGCGGGGATTTTCTGGTTTGTTCGACACACTCTTGCCGGAGCTCTTGATACATGAACACAAGAACTGTGCATCTACGAGTTTCAACATGTTTTTCCACAATAACGCATCGCAGAAATCTCCGCAACTAAATGAATCAGTACTTACTGTTCGCCATTGCTCACAACATTTCAATCCATCGAAGAAGTCGGGCAGGCCCCCTATTTGGAAACCTGGGGGTATGGACTGTTATGTTGCTCGCTTTCAATATTCCGGGTCCGCTAGTCCAAACCATGCCCTGTAGACCAGAAATTGTCATGCACATCCCCCCTTTCCGCTGTTCCACTCGAACTTCCTGCCAGCCTGGAGTCGACAGTAGAACGTGCCGGCCTGTCCAACATACCCTCACCTGCTCGGCCACCAGAGCGCCACCGACAGTCACCCTAGCTCCCGTCGAGCAGGTCCCGAAGCCCGCACGCCCGTCCACTCCAAAGGCAACCGCCGGCCTCGCCGCCACGCCGCCGTGATCTCCTCCAGGAGATCCTGCTCCAGCTGCTGGGGGCGACGAGGAGGACGATGACTGCTGTGCCGTTCCGAGTGCGGGCCACCAACCTGAGGGCCCTCCACCTTTCGGTGGTGGTTTCGGATGGATTATATTGATGGTTGGAGATCTCGGAGACTGCATACACTAGACCCCAATGAAACTTGGGAGTTAAAGGGCCACTCACTTCTCGTATGCTACGGGTGTTACTGACTTAGTAGGGTCGGTCGTGTTGATGTCGGGCTCAAAAGTGGCCGAGACGCCATGAACTCCGAATGATCGAGTATTGTTCACGGTAATAAGGATATCCGGATACCTGCGACTGTAACTTTGGCAATACCGCTGCGCTCGCTGTTGCTACGGTGGACTGATTCAGCCCGACATCTCGCTCCCCCCGCCTGCTGATCACCGGAATCAGTCTAGCAACGTTTATTTGGTGTGCTGACCGCATTGGCCTTCACCGGTCGCCCCACTTATCGTTGCTTTCTGTCCATGAAAGATGGACCTCACAGCTGGGTGGATGTGAAACAAATCGGGGAAGGGAGGTGTGAGCTAATGCAGGGACTATTCTATCTGCTAGTCGGACAAGGCCAAGGCACATGGAAACGAATCATCATGAGCGCGCCCAATTTCACCTGCAATGACGTGAGTCAGGGTCATGCCTCCCGCCCACGAGGATTGGTCCGCCTGGGGGTCGGTCCACTGAGGTCGGGACGCTGACCCTGCCTTCTTGTCTCGGCCGGCAGCCAGCTGAGACATCACCCAATGGTTGTGCGTGCTTCCCTCTTGGGTATCTCCTGATGGGTAAGAAGCGGTTGCGTAAGCGCTAAAATATGTTTCCTTGGATTGTGGTTGGTTCCTTGAGCAATCGCGAACGACCAAGTCAAACATATGAAAAGCACTAGTCTATCAGGCTGCTAAATGTGTCTCATGCTTCCCCTCCGTTGCCGAGATTTCGGGAAAAACAGAAAATGTTTCCCAATATTCGATCCATTCACTAGCCCCCGCTCCCCCGCCCCTCCGTACCTCTCCGAAAACAGCGAGAAACTTGTACGATTACCTGAATGTCTCGAGCTGAGGACTATCGTGTTGTCCGGGGCCGGAGACAGCTCGGGCACCGACGGCCTACTCCTACTACCGCCGACGCTGAGCATCTGCATCACTCCCGCAGAGCCTGCGGGCGATTCCACCAAGACAGAGGCCACCGGTGGCATGGTCGGCTCCCCGCTCTCTAGTCCCGACGGCGCAGCCACTGTCGGCAGGGAAACGGCGGCGAACACGTGCAGCGCGGCCGAGAGCTGTGGCGGCACGCCCGTGGCGTCCGCATCGGGCACGGCACCGATGCCCCACCTGCCACGGGCGTCGCCGACGACGCGGCCGGGACTTGAGGCAAGCTCAAGCACGAGCGTATCCCCCCCTGCGTTCGCGGGGAGCGGTGATCAGACAACGAAGGATTGCGTGCCGAGCAGCCGCGTGACCGGGTTGGCTTCTGTCATTGGGCTCGGCGTGGCCGCATCTGTGTGAAATGGTACCATGGCAAAAAAGTCTGAACACCGATAGAGGCGATTTTTCCAACGCAAACCCCACAAACGGCGGCAATAACAGCAGACACAACACCACCGATCACACCACCACAACAACAGCGCAGGACGAAGGCAGCAACAAATTCCACAACAGCACGAGTAGCGGCCGCATCACACAGCGCTACTGACGCGCTGTTCATATTGTGACTCGTTGGAACGCGAAAAACAAAGATTCACGTTGCATTGCGCGTGCTGGACACCTCCACCCTCCCCCTACCGGCACCTTCTCTTCCACGCTTCTGGGCCCCATGGACTCACGCAACTGCTATGCTCACCGGGTCCCTCCAGATGGTGCCGAACCTCCAGGCCGCCGCTGTAGGGCAGCCCCTCGCACCCGAACCGCACCGCCGACCGGCTTCCTCACAAGCGGTGCGTTAGGCAGGCAGCATGGAAGGCGTCACAAAGCGATGATTACCATTCACCACGTGACGAGGTGCATGTGTGCCTGCGGTGCGCCTGCCTACGTCGAACGACAAGGCCCCGTTTCAGTTGTGCCGAACTTGTGCGTTCGCATGCACACACGTGGTGATCGAAACTCGGCTGATGTCCAACTTTTCCCGCATCCCCGTACCCCGCTCTACGGGCGGCGACACATGAACGAAGCCAAGTGTGCTGATACCGAGGGCACGCTTAACAACCGTGAGCGGCATGCATTTAGCCGTGATCTGAACAGGCACGTTCACATGGCCCCACCGTCGCGCCTACAGGACCCCGATTTTCCTTACCTTCCTCGAGGTGAAAGCACAGACACGCCTGCGTCCCCGCCCGAGGACTCCATAGCAACGAGAGCATCGAGCGAGGGAGCCATGCGCTGCCGCTGGTGACTGGTAGGGTGGTCGGTGGCGTTTGTCACGTAGAGCAGGGTGGGTATAGTCCCTGCGTTGCCGACAGCAGGAGGAGGAGGAGGAGGAGGAGGGGCGAACACACGCCGGCAAGGTGCTGAGAAGCAACTTTTCGCGGCGTGGCCCCAAATGGGCCGCAGTTTTTTCACGGTCGTATATCAATTCCACTCAATCTATGCGCACCGATCCCCCGGATTGGCGCGGGCATGCACAAGGCCCCCTTGGCTTTCCGCCATGCCATGAGCAGCTCCCAGCCGTGCCACACGCAAAAAATCGCATTTGCGTGCGTGGTTTCCCCCCCTGAAGACGCACGACGACTGTGTATCATGAAAAACCAAGATGAGAGTGTCGCACGTACCTGCTGCAGCCCTCGCCAAGTGTCGCGACGAAAAACCACGGCCGATCCCCACCCCGCTCCCGGCCCCGGGCGCGAGGAGTACGTGCCCCCCCTCCTCCTGCCCAAGTCCTAGACCATTGTGCCCCTTCCGTCCGAGTCCCGCCCCGTCAAGCGATGGGCTCTCCTTGTGGTCAGCCGATGGGGTTCCATCGCCGCCGCCGCCGCCGCCGCCGTCGTTGCGGGGGGATGAGCCCGAGAGAAGGATGCCGCGCGGCGAATACAAGGAGGTGTCGTTCGGGGACGAGATCTGGATGCTTCCCTCCGCTCGAAGCCGAAGGTCCTGCGAACGTCGCAAGGCGGCCGGCCAAGGTGGGCAGCAGAAAGACGGGGGGCAGGGGCGTGCGCTGTGTGGGGAGCGTCGTGACGGTTCGGCGCTGTTAATTGTGATCAGACAGATACCGCTCGAAGGAAAACGTGTGCAGCCGATGTTTTGCCAAGCGTACAGCCCTTGCCTTTGTTGCCTTTGAAGGGGCGGAGGCGCCGATGAGAGAACCCCGTTGATGGGTTCGTAGGCACGCATGGTGTAATGTCCGCAATTCAATTGTCGGCAGAGGACAAGTGCGCCCGTCAAGCGGCACCAAACGTTCAAAGAAAACCCGCCAAGGAACAAAACAGGCACGCTGGCGCCTGGTGTATAGCAAAACATACGTCGAGCCGTACGACCAAGAGAATAAACAACCTCGACATCCACGTATGCAGCGAACCTCTGTGGACGAGATGTTGGCCGCTCCAATCGCCTCGACCACCAGCCCTTTTCGAGACGAACCTTCCCCGCCACCGAGGCCACCGGTACACCCACTCCCGCCTCCTCCTCGGGCGACAGTCTCCGCTGCCGTTGATTCTGCCGTTGCCGATGCCGTTCGGGACGAGGATAGTGCTGGCAGGGAATTGTCTCCACCCCCTCCGGCACAAAGGTGTATCCAGCTCTCTTCGACCGAGATATGACTACCGGCACGGTCTTGGGCGCCTTCTTTGCAGCTGCTCGAAAAGCATACGGCGGTATCGGCGGGGAGGAGATGCCAATCATTTGCGGAGAATATTGATCTTCTTTGAGCACTCTCGAGAGAGCGTGGCCCTTGCTTGTCGGTCACCTGTAGTGATTATTTTCGGAATTAGACCTGTGACGGCGGTTGCCGACTCGAATTTCCCGCTGTTGGCATGAAACCGAAGAGTCGGGTTTTCACAGCCCCCTTACTGCCACAGCGTCTAGCGGAAATACGTCTAGTTGGCACACAAGCAGTGATGGAGGCATGGCAGAGTGTATGCTAGTCTCCGTTTTGACGTTTTCGCTCACCCGCTCTCCGACGTAGACCTTAAACCGGCCTGCAGCAGCACCCTTTCGTCTGCCCTTCCTGTCAGGGCCAACCCGTCCGACCACAGCCCGCCGCCGCCGCCGCCGCCGGCATCGCTGAAAGGATCTTCGATTATGGTACTGGAGCCCGCCGCTCTGTGTCTCCTTGCTGACCCCTCTTCGCCCACGCCGGCGCCTCCGCCTCCCACGTGCGAGATTGCCAGTTGGGGAGCCACGAAGACCAGCCGGGATCCCGCATTAAGGAGGATCGTGCTGCTGCTGGTGCTACTGCCGTTGCTGTAGCTCTTGTTATTGTCGTCCGATGACGCTGCCGACGCACCCGCGAGAACCTTGTCCAACAAGAAACGGGCAATTAGGGAAGCAAGTTGCGGATAGAGAGGGAGGGAGACGGACATGTTGCTGCTTCGGGAGTGCTGCTTCATTGGCTTCAAGCGCAGTCATATTGAGATGCCACTTTGACTTCTTCACCCTCAACGCCGACGACGACGTGATGTCCACAAGCACGAGAATTGAACGATTCCATTGGGAGAAACGGAGCGTCTATATGGTCTGAAGAAGGCGTATCGGGTGTATTTTCTCAAGGTCGGCAAGTATCGAATGTAGAAGGTTGTTAAATAGAACATGGTGACAAAGTGCCTCGATCTTTCACATTATGAGAAACAGAGGGTCCAAAGTTCAAGATAGCACGCTCCCAACGCACAACAAGGTGGCAACGGAGAGCACGACGAGAAGGGGTGGAGGGAACTTTGGTCGGGGATCGGTTCTATGATCTGATACGGCAGTGTTGTCTTGCAGAGGTACAGGGTATACTGTTGCGGTGACGGGGTTCGAGTGGTTGGAATAGGTGTCGAACAGGACAGGCACGCAGAACGGGCCGTTTCCACCGGCGTTAAGTAAGATAATCGTATGCGACACTTCTTCGTCCACAAATCGTTAGGCTTTTCATTTCCCGAACCACTATACCTGCTCTTGAGCAGGAGAGACATAGCAGTGACGGAAAGAGGCTTCAAAAGCCACCTCAGACTCACCCGAACCCCCCAGTCGCCCAACTCTACAATCGCTGACGATTCCACCTCCTCTCGTTCCGCCGCCGACTGCACCCCCCCATCGCTTTCAGAGCTGACGGCAGTGCGACGCTTGGCTAGGCCGCCGACTCGAAGTGCGACGCGTTCCGACGCGTCAAGGCTCGTCGATGCTCCCGCCGCCGAGACTCCTCCCGGGAACACCTGCCTTGTCGTCAATTTTAGGGCTTAGTCTGCTGCTGCAGCTGCTGTGAACAACGCCACGTCAATAGTACAACACATTGCAACAGTCGTTCTGGTTGAAACTTCATCACCGTTCAGGAAAGCTGCCCATAAAGGGCACCACAGCTCTGCTTTGCCACGTACAACGATCTTCAGAGCGAGGGAGTCGGGATCCTTCTTTTTTTCTTATATGAGACCGAAAACAAGTAGAACGTACGGCCGACACTGTAGCTGTTTTACCTCGAGGCGACCGCCGGCGGCGGCTGTCCCGTTGCTCGCCCCCTGTTCTGCACAAGCCCGCGCATCATCTCCGTCGGTGGCAACGACGGACACTCCGGCCGACGCTATTATCCGCACATCTCCGGCTTCAGCCACGAGCAACCCACCACGATCAAGACCCTCCCCGTCGTCGCGTCCACTCGCCGCCAGACCGTCTCCACCGCTACGGCGACCGGACAGCTGGACGAACGCACCGGGGGTTTCCATTCCGATGGACCCCGAAGCGGCCACCGCGACATCGCCGCTGTCATCCAGGCTCAGCTCCGCCGCTGCCGTCGGGCCGGGTCCGCGGATGCCGGGGTCTTGGCGGCCGGTCGTTGGCGGCGGCTGTTGGAGGGGGGCGGGGTCACGTCCATCGCCGTTGCTGGAGGCCGCCGCTGCTCCTCCCATCCCCGCGGCCGCCGCCGTGAGTGGCGAAGAAGAGCGGAGGACGATAGCAGGGGTCTGCAGGGAAACCTCGGCGGCCGAAACGCGGAGAAGAGACGAGTTGCTGACTCGCAGCCGCACCTGCTGGAACGGGTTGTTGACCGCGGCGTGAAGTTTGGACGAGCCAGTGGGACGAAACAGTTTGAGAGGCCAGGGCTGCGATGGTGAAATGTTGAAGGTTTTCCGTGGGAGCGTTGTAGACGAACAGAGTTCAACAGAAATGAAGGTGGCGTCTTTATCATCGTTCGAGCGAAGTGCGAGTGGCCTCGCATGCCGGCCATTGAGGTACCCTTGGGCATCCAAATGTGGAATAACGTAAGCTGTGCATCGTTGCAAGAGCCCACGTCGACAAGGAATACACGTCCTTAGCAGGGAGGCTCCTCACCTCGTCATCAGCCTCGAGCAATGCGCCTCCGCCCTCTCCGCCTTGCGGGCCTCCGATCGTAGCTGTTTCGACCGTTAGGGTGAGGTATCCCCCTCCCGGAGCGCGTTCTCTGTCCTCTTCTTCCTTCGCTTTTTCGCCCCCGGCTTTCGTCGTTCATGTCCGCCCACGACGCCAAGTCAAAGCGAACCAGGAAGGAAATAAGTGAGCATCGAACGTTTGTTTTTGGGAGGGAATCTTTGGGGCTCCTAGAGTCCAAACCCAGTGAAGAAACGGGGCCGCCGTCGGGTGGAAGGTGGTCATAAGGGGATGTACACCGGAGCTTCTGCTTCTGTGGCGGCCGACCTACACCTGATTCGCCGCTCGTGACCGGATTTATTGATCCGAGACACTTTAATCCGAGCAGCTCCTTCTTGCAGTCAATATCGAGTGTGTCAGAACGACGGGTGGCTGACATGACAGGTAATGCGCAAACAAAGGGCAACGCGTTGCCCATATTCAAGAACTACTTGATCACTTACTGTGCCAAGCCAAATGCCTGCCTAAGGGCGTGGTTCAAGGAATGAGGGCGCGGTGACGCACACGAACCAAAGAACACTTGCTTCGCACACGTCGCACACGTGAGTTTTCCACCCACCACCCGCTGACGAACAGACTTGAGGCCCATTGTACTTCTCCGCAACATGCTTCAAAGCTATAGCATATGTAGGTATCATGGCCATACGTTCTTCGGAACGTGCGCGCAAAGTAGGGGAACGTAATTCATTGCGCGCCAACCCGTACCTACCACTAGTTTTTTGGCGATGACCCACCTGCTGCTTCTGCTTCTGCTGCTTCTGCTGTGAAGGAAACTGTCGGGGCCACGCCGGCAACAGCACTACGCCCCCGGACGACGACTGATCCATCGGGGCCGCTTGAGTCGACACGGACATCCCCAGCAGACGACGTGACTCTCACTCCGTTCCTTCCGGCTGCCAGCAGGGTGTCGACAGCCTTAGTTGGCGAGAGAGGGACAGGAAATGGAGGAGAGATGGTCAAAATGGAGACCTTACGGGATACGGCGGTTTTTGGATACTTAGATGATGTAAAATTAGGGTCAAAGAGATTCGATAATCCCGAACGGTATAAAGCGTTTTCCATGCATGGGAAACACCATGGAAAGCTCGGGTCTGGTCCCGATCGAAGTAAAACGACCTCGCCATATTCAACATCGGCCGCAGCTTCAAACCCGTTGAACAGTAGCTAATTCATCTGGTATCCCAAGTGGTAGGTTTGCGGTCTCGTGCCTAGTAGAGAACTTGTCACTCCTCTCATCATGAACATCTATCTGCCTATATGCTGAAACGCTCGTCCCTCTTACGATCCCTGCACCTCGACGTTCACCACCCCCGCGCTCGTGTTCAACGACCCAGCGTCCCCTTTCAGCAGCGCCGCCTTCGTCTCTGAACCTGATCCCGACGAAAACCCGTGTTGATGCGGTCCCTCGCCCACCCCGCCCCCCTGCCCGTGCCCGATACCATCGTTTTGCCCTCCCTCCTTCTTCTCTTCGCTAGCAGCCGCGATCGCTACTTCGAAAGATCTGGCCGAGCTTAGCCTTAACGCTTCCGAGAACCCGGTAGCCTCCAGCGTACCGTCATCGACCCTGAGCGACGCTACAGCGCCTCGGGGATGGCAATCAGAAGAAGGACAATCTGGCAGCGACGGTGAGTCTGGTGACCATTCCAGTGACCCGGAGCGAAGACGTATCAAGCCGTGCTCGCCTCTCGCCGCTACGTGCACGTCTCCGCCCAACACCTCTCCGCCGGCTCGGGCGATCCCCGACTGCAGGTGGAGGTCTGGTGCGGGAGGAGTGGGATAACATGTTAGGCGCGATGGAGCTAAGCATTCTTGTTGGCACGTCCAGCTTGGAATGCTACAGGCAGGGGTTTTGAGTCAGCTGTATCCGTGCCATGTGTTTGGATTGTAGTGTGCACCCCCCAAAACCAATCGTTTTCTGATGCATGGCCTGCAACTCCACCGAGCGACGGTGTGCCCGGCGCGGAAACCATGGAACTGTAGATCCGAGACAACCTGTTCCACTGTAAAAGCCCCTCAAGCGATCACGGGTATTCTGTTCGTGATGGTGGCGGGGCTGCTGCTTGCAAAGCCAATCTGATCCTGGTGTTGGTCATGCCGACTCACCCCCGGCAGGGGCTATCTTCAGGCCCCCCTCTCTTGTGCGGATGGCATGCATGACATTGCCGCCCGTGGTGTTCTTTCCCGCTGGCCGGGTGCCCAGCGGGGCTTCTGTCGGTGCGCTTCGTCTTTCGCCTCCGCTGACACCTCCAAGCAGCAGCTCCCGGGACGCGAACTGGGCGAGGGGATTGAAACGCCCTTGCCCCCACGACGCTAGCTGCAGGAAAGGCTCGAAACATCCATCTCGCCCGATGTTACTGCTGCCCTTGCCGACGCGGTATTCGTCGACGCTTGCGATGTGGTCGGAGTAGTTGCCTTTCCGGTGGGGAGGCCAACATGACGAACCCCCGATATTGTTGGCGATGGGTGCCTGTGTCATCAGCAAACTTCCTCCACCCTGCTTATTTCGCAAATGAAATTGTTTTCAGGGCCGGGTCAGATTAGATTGGTCATACTATCTTTATTTACCAGATTACCACACTCACCACAAAGTACACCGGATTGATGCTGTCTCACGGTTTAGCGTCGAGCTTGTTTCCTACCTGTGCTGTCGGTTCAGAGAGTGGCGCTTTGTTTTTTCTTGAACGCCACCTACGGCGAGCCATATATACGCCATGGAGGCCACCCAGCAGTTTCCGTACATCGCTTCCCAGGTTGGTTCATTAGGAATGCCTCACATTGATTGGGAAGAGTCAAGGCGCCGACGTGGTCCCTTCAGCTGACCTTCTGTTCCACGTTGCGAGTTTGTAAGCCCTAGCCTCTATTTGCTCGAGTTGTTGTGTCCAACTACCAGAACCTTGGCAACACAACGACGCGTGTACACCCCCCGCCAAATTCACTTGCAACAAATGGTACCAACGTGTCATCTTCGCCCCTTGCACAGGATGATGCGCAGCGGCTCACCATTTCACCGCCGACGGCGTCCCACATCCACGGCGGCAAAACGAAGCCTTCCGCTTCCTCGTCAGACTCCCAGGCGTACGGCTCTTGCAACAGGAAGTAGGCTCCTTCGCTTCCGAGACCGCCAATGCTTGGTTCGCCTAGTGAGAGAATGGTGCAGACGTGTCCGTTCAGCAAAATCAAGGGCTCCATCGCTCCAGGCGAGATAGCCGCCGACCCTCCGTCAGTACCGTCTTTATTCTCGCCGCTTCCAGGCCGGGTCCTAACCTCACGTCCAGCGAGCAATTCTAGTACATTGTCGGGCAGATGGCTCGTTGTAGACTCACCCCACCTTTAGGAATGGTTCACCCATGACAAGAGATAAGGGGAAATGTAAGAAGAGTTGAGGCTTTCAGTCAGATATAAAACAGGTTCTTTGACATGTCCTTGGTCGTAAAAAACGCTCTGAGATGAACCAAACGCTTTTTCGGTGGGCTAAAGACGCCTTCGGAGAAAGAAACAACCCGAATTGTTGCTCAGTGTACAGCGAGAGGTTGCGCTGGGCTCGTGGGCAGCTCTTTTGTTGACAGTATCAAATCGTGCTGACACCACTTAGTCTATTATCTTCAAGGCATGGGACTATTTCTCCAACGCATTCGCTACCCGACAACAATGCAAACTTATCTAAAAAGAAATGTTTCACCACTCTCAAAAAGTTTCAGCTCAAAAACAACTATATCATCATAAAACCCATTGCGAATGAAGATCCTTCCTGTGGTTCCTGTCATGAACGTGTAGTTCCCTAGCTGGCCTATTCAGCACCCTTGTCGACGTACGGAAATGTTGGTGTGCTGTAGAGTGTAGGACCTACCGAGACACGATTTTCAGGTTTCCACCCACACCTACGTCAGCAAGACGTACCCACACGCCAAAAGAAACCCGGGGAAATGACAACTGAACTGTAGTGAAGCTACGAGAGTAGCGTCTTGGAATCATCCCATGTGGGAGTAAAGATGTCATTCGTAGAATTTGGCACGTACCTCCGAGAAGAAGATGATGGCTTGACAACAGTTGATGCGTGTTGCACAACGAACGTGCCCTATCAATTACGCAGAAAGAAGGCGGGGCGGGGTTGAACATCAGAAGGAGCGCTCAGACTTGAGCATGAAAATCGACCGGCAACGCGGAAACGTCACTTTCGGCGTTGTTTTTCCGTAACGCGTACAGGAACGGAAACGTGATTGTGTTCGTCTTCACCGCATACCATTTGTACTGAGTTTTGTTGCGGATTTGGTCGAAAGACAGCAACATAGAATTGTATGGCGGGGTTTTCATCACGAAAACCGAGCACGACGGTATGCCCCAGTCACAGGATACAACGAATGCATCGCCATCTCTTTTTTCTTACAATATGGACTAAGTCGACCCGTTGCAGTCCACCTCCGCTTCCTTGGCCGCAAGTCTGAGTGTCTTCGCCCCTGGGAAATCTGTGGTCCTCTGCTCCCGGCGCCTGGAGCAACGGGAATCCTCGCTGGTCCAGTACGGTCGTGAGCGCCGCAGCCCCGGGGAGGTCCAAGTTCGCCAATGCAGCGAGAAAAATGGGCTGTAGCAGCAGTATCGGTAGCCGCATAAGTATGTATCGTGACCAATGCGCGTGCCGCTGTTGACATGGGCTCATGGTCGAGCTGTTCTCCTTCGGAAGATATGCGCGATCTGCAGGACTCGGCGCCGTTCGGCTCGAAAAGAACCGTCAAAAATATAGAGGAACAGATGCCCGAGACTGGGACGCCGACAAGCCGTCACCAAAAGATCGCCCCACCTATACGCTTGAAGGCGGGCGCAGACACTGTAGGGGTGAGCGTGAAGCTCGCGAGGCCCAAAGTCGAGCGGGTACGGAATCTTTGCAGGAAAGCAGACACCGAGAGGCTTGCCTCGTGCCGCTGGCGCACTGGATGTGAGAGCAGCTCAGAGCCCGCGTTTTACTTGGTATCCTTGTTTCCTCCCTCATGTGCTTCCGCTGCAGCTGTGCGACCGGCACCAAGCGCTGGACAGGTATCGCCCAGAGGGTCAAGACAGTCGAACATGTGCGGCGGAACTGTATCTCTCCCCTCTCAATCTGCCGAAGCGTGTACCGAACCTTTATTTTGGAACTATGCTACAAGCCATGTACACCTGAGATGCAAGCATATGCCGCTGTGGTGAGACATTTTCTCCGCGCTCTCTTTGTCCACCGGCCCTACGTTGGACGGCCGCGCCGCTTGTGAAGGGGGCCGCTCGGCGACTGCTGTTCCTTCAAGGTCTATCCCGAGTTGGCGGAATACGTAAATTGTTCGACACCCTCTCCTTCATCACCCCGATCAAAAGAGAACCACCACCGCTGCTGCTGTACGGCGGATCTCCCGCGCCAGAAGTACACCCCGGACAGCAGTAGTCGAGACGGGTCGTTACGGCGGCTCTGGGCCCAACTCCTGCAGGGAAGGCATTGGGGTTATCAACAGCTGGAGGCGGTCGTACTGGGTCTTTTACTCGGAGAGATTTGCGGAGCGCTCTGCCCATCACACAAAGAGCGTCTCTAAACTCTAAACTCTTGTGGATCAACTTGCGTTTGAAATATGCGCATGATGGCGAGGGTGGTCATCGCGCTAGGGGTGGTCCTGCTCATATCATGCCTGGGGACCTTTAGGGTATGGCCGGGGCTTCGACGCCACCATGCAGGCTGGACAGGTGAGTTTAGAGCTACGCTGGTGCACGGTACGCGTCGCTGCCTCCTTATACCTACCATTGTCACACGTGTGCCATGTGCTACGGAATATACCACCCCGCGAAGGTAGCAACCGGCTTCTCGTGTGTTCACCTCTGTTTGTGGAGGCGTCCCAGTGGAGAGGGGGACAAGGGGGAGGAGACAACACTGTTGCGAAACTTCTTTTTGTTTTTTTTCGTCTCTGCACCCCCGACCGCCTCTCTAACCATTTCCCCCGTCATCGTCAGGCTTAGCCCCACGTTCTGTATGGCGTCTTGGCTGCTACACCGATTTCGGCGGTGCATTACGTCGCTGTGTTTTGGGTTTTGGTTTGGAGATGCGTATTCCGTGTGGATCCCGGCAGGTGGTGGCAAAGGCTGACATCGACAGACGTTAGTCTGTCCAGCTAACTCGCAGGTAGCAGGTGATGCTACTGCTGTACTTGTTGATGTTGAATGGGCGCTTGCGGCCAACAAAGACTTGTAGAGAACGATAGACTTTGGCAGTCTAGGGAAGAAGACGGGAGAGAGAGCAGAGTGAGAGAGAAGGGGGGCGAGCTTGGCTTCACCTCTTCTTTTTCTAGAATGGCAGACACATACACACGTTCTAGACTAATTCTAGAGGCTGTCCTGGAAACTAACAGACCGGTCCGGAAACGTTCCGGGATCGGCAAGACTGTTCCAGGAAGCAAAGGAGTCCTGCGTGGTTTCCTTGAGCCAACTACTGTTCTTGAGAACGTTCGTCAAGACGTGGTGTAACCGTTCAGATCTCCACTGCCATGATACTACTGAACATTGACTTGTGTAGCCTTGCTATTTCATAACACTCCCCCTCAAAGGAAGTTTCGTGATGCTATCCTAAAATATATACTACTTCACATCCGAAGACATACAGCCGCCTAAACCATTTTGAAGCGGAAACCTTTTAAATGCACTTCATGGTATGCAATCTTCTACATGATGTACTCAAGAGACGTATCATCTCCGTTTACTTGAAATATGCTGGTCTAAGTACCGAAAGTCATTCAGCGCAAAAAAATAGCTAAATCTGCATAGTAGCGAACACTGGACTAATGATGACTACTAGTCCCTAATCGCTGCGTCGAAACAGGGCGATCCCTGAAGTTGGTACATTGAAGATTCTTGGTCGAATATCCTTGTCGAAGATCCTTAGGCTTATCACGTCCCGAAGTTCTTGATCTTTGTCGATGAGATACTGGTGACGTTGTTTGTTGAGGTGCTTCGTCCCGATATCGGCGAGGTTGTCCTCGGTCGGGATGTAGTGGATGGATATCCTTCCCTCCTTCACGATCTCGCGGATGCAGAAGAAGCGTAGTGCCAAATGTTTTGTGCGCCCGCTGAAAGTCTGGTTGCCGATTACGTTGAGTGTAGCGGTGTTGTCGATGTATAATGGCGCGCTCCTGAACTCAGATCCGAATCCCAGTTCCTTCATCATGTTGGTGCAGAATACTTCGTTCATCGCGAGTGCTGTAGCTACCAGCTCGGCCTCCAAAGTAGACATGGCAGTCTGGCTTTGAAATCCAGACTTGAAGCTCACTGGTGCCTTGGACATCATCATGATGTACGATGACGTGGACTTTCCGACGTCCGGATTGTTTCCCCAGTTGGCGTCGCAGAATGCCGTGAGGTCAAATCCTCCTCTCTTGTACGTGATGCTGAAGTCCCTGCACCGGGAGAGGTAGCGAAGAAGATGTTTCGCTACTCCCATGTGGATCCTGGAAGGGTTTGACATCGACCGTGCAAACTGACTGGCGCAGTGCATGATGTCGTAGCGGGTGATTTGAGCCAAGTTCATGACGGGACCAATGATGACCTGATATCGCTGCTTGCCCTCGGCGTTGAGTAGAGTCTCCTCTGGCTGCTTCACCGACAGCTCTGGACCGAATCCGGCGGTGCTGAGAGGCTTGCAGCTTCCCATGCCAAATCTGTCCAGAATAGAGATGGTGTAGTTTTCCTGGCTGATGGTGAGCTCCCCCTGTTCTCGGTCGCGTGTCACATGCATCCCTAGGACGAGCGATACATCGCCCATGTCCGTCATCTTGAACTTGCCCATCAGCTTCTTCTTGTTTGTCTCGATCACTCGAATGTCACCTCTGATGATGAGGAGATCGTCCGCGTAGAGAGTGAGAATGACGACCGTGTTGTTGTGGTCGTAAATGTAGACGCAGGTGTCGGACTTGAGCAGAACGAATCCCATTTCCACTAGGCTCGGGTCGATGGTCTTCCACCAGCTCTGGGGGCTTTGAGCCAGCCCATAGAGGCTCTTGTCCAGTGCTTCATCACGAGCTGGAGTCTCTCCTTGTTCTTGGCTTCGTAGCCTGGTGCCATCTCGACGAATACATTTCTCAATATCCGCGTAGAGGAAGGCTGTATTGACGTCCAGCTGAATGACATCCAAGTCCTTCTCTGCTGCTATGGCGAGTACCATGCGGATGCTCTGAAGTCGGCAGACAGGAGCAAACGTCCCTCCGCAGTCCCGTCCTGGCACTTGGTTCCATCCGTTCGCAACCAAGCGCGCGTTATGCGTGTTTTCTGGCTTGACCTTGAAGACCCACTTCGAGCCAATCGCTTTATGTCCCGAGGGAACGTCGGTGCGTGGCACGAGTTTATACACTTTAAGGTCTTGCAGGCTTTTCATTTCTTTGTCAGTCGCAGCCTTCCAGAGCTTCGCTTCTGGTAACTCCATGGCCTCCTTGAAGGTGTTCGGTGTGGTCTTGACCTTCTCCCCCCTCCGAACGACCGTGGATTTGGGTGTTAATGGCGACGTCAGGCCTTTGGGTCAAGCTTGCGTGTGTGCGTTTCGACGTGTACGAAAGCTCTGGCCCTAATTGCCCGAAGGTGTCCAAGTTTGGCGTCCTTGCCGTACAAGACCTTGTACGGCGTGATTTTTCCCAGTGCTGCATGTGGCACTCTGTTGCTCAGGTACACCGCTGTCTGCATCAGCTCCGCACAGGAATTTCGGCAATCCCGAATCCGTGAGTAGGCAGCGCACCATGGCTGCAAGGGTCCGCCCCGCACGCTCGTTTGCTCCGATTTGTTGTGGTGTGTTTGTTGAAGCCAACTCCAGCTTTACTTTGATTTGAAGGCAATACTCCCGAAATTCACGGCAGATGTATTCCGTTCCTTTGTCTCCCCTGAGGCGGTCCAGCCTGAATCCAGTGGGGACAACCAGAGACTGGTTGAACAGCTGAAGTGTTTTGATAGCATCCCGCTTGGTCTTGATGAAAAAGATTTCCTTCCACTTGGTCTTTCATGGACGAACTTGCTGACGTATCGAAACCCTCCCAGTGCTGGCGGAGAAATTGGCCCCATCAGATCGGTTGAAACCAGCTGAAAAGGTCTGGACACGTCGTACGTCGCCTTCTTCGGATGAGGGCGTTGTGAGCTTTTCCCTACGGCGCAAACGTCGCATGCTTCCATAGTTCCGGTGCAGTCTACTCCGTTGTCGTCGACCTTCCGTAGCACACCCAAGCTCCTGCTGTTGATGTCTCCCAACCTGCGGTGCCACAGGTCCGCTGACTCGACCCGCATTGCCATGTTCGGCGGGTTGTTCAATTCGAGAGAAACGGAGCATATAATGGTGTCGTTGCCGAGTCGCCTCAAGGGTACGATGACGTCGCCCATCTCCAAGCGCGGTTGTGATGAATCGAAGATAGTCACTACTCCCGTTTTCGACGCGATGAGTGGAGAGAAGAGGTGCCTGCCAAGTCCAGGTACAGCTATTGCTGAGAACGACACCGGCTGCTTTTCCCCATGTTGGTCAGTGAAGGTGCCGGTGATGGTGCCCTTCCCTATGCATTCGATGACATTTTCTCCAGCGGTGATTATCTTCTGAGGCTCCTTCAAAATCTCGTAGTCCAGCATGCGCTCCCTCAGTCCAGGGTGAAGGTCGGTGCCATGTAATGCTCCGACGATCCGTTGTCCAACAGAATAGTGATTGAGCTGCCGTTGGTCTTTCCAGTGTGTCGGTGAAGAACTGCAGTTGCTGATCCAGCCACCTAAGTCTCTCCGAATGCTGCGAATAGGCCCGAGTCGACTGCTGGTTTCTTGAGCAAGTCCTTTGGTGTAGGTCCGCGGGCATTATGGCGGACTTGACCTCCTTGTCCGGCTTCGTGGAGCTGCTAGCAGTCGGAATCAACGACGAGGCCGTGACTGATGCAAAGGAGAAGCCGATTTTTTCCTCGTCTGAATCGTCGGCCTGGGGTATGTGCGCACTCCCCAAATCGGCAAAGTTGATTCTTCCATTTGGCTTGCTGTGGGCGTCCTTCTGTTGCTTGTAGCAATCTTCATCGCTGTGAGGTGTAGTGTTGTGGAGAGAGCACCACTTCGGGCCAGGCTGTTCACTTGTTTCTTCCAGTAATTCTTCTGAGGCCCCTTGTGCTGATGTTGCTTGTGCCGAGGAAGTTCAGGGCAGTCGCGGCGACGATGGCCGTGCTGCCTACAGTTGAAGGACTTGATTGGGATTGTCTCCATTCGATGCCGGCATGGCTACTCCCCTTCCGGCGACGGACTTCGTCGAGGTCCGTGACAAGCTGTCGATGTACATGTTTGTCATCGTTGTCTTGATTTCCTCCAGCCCGAAGTCAAGAACGCGGAAGCTGGTTTGGCGAACTTAGTCGTAGCCGTTGGAGATCGCCTGTAGAATGATGTCCTCGAACGTCTCGTCCGAGATTACTTCTCCCATATCTTTCAGGTGCTCCCGCAGGTCTTCCACGGTGGTGAAGGTGTCGTCTGGGTCTTCGCCTTGTACCATCTTCTTGGTTGTCAGCTCGTCGTAGCAAGCACCACGCGTTTCTTTCGTGTAACTGTCGTAGGGCCAACCACGCAGCTACTCCGTTTCCAAGTCCTTCACCTTGTTTCTTGCCTTCGAAATGGCGTACGGCGGTGTGCGCTGAACCCGTGGTCGCGAAGAAGAGGATGAAGAATAGGTCCCAGTTGTCGGAGTTCCACTTCTCGATCGCGTCAGTGTTCAACGTGTCCTGGGGGCACTCCTCCCCGTTCAGTCGAAGATACCCTTGTTGTGGTAGCTGACGGCCATCCTCATTTTCGACCTCCACTCACGAAAACCCTTCCCCCCGAACTTTGGAATGGTTTTTTGAGTGCGTTATTCATGTTGGTCGACTTGTCCATTGTGCCTTTGCTACGCGTCAAACGCGCAGGCTAATCCTAAGCAAGTTTCAACGGCACAAACTAAAAGTTTGACCCGCAAATGTGGTGCTGTTCAGATTTCGGTGCTACAGCAGTAGTAGTACTGCTGCAGGCTTGCGTTTTGGCCCAGCAGTCTCGCTGTCTGGCCGTCTGTCCCCTAGGCACTACTGTTCAGTGCTGGACAGACTTGCTACACGTCGCTGCGTGCAGGCGCTCTCGGTTACAGGTAGCTAGCCTGCAACCCCGTCTTGCAGGTACAACGATATGCACTGCTCCGACTTGCTACGCGTCGCTGCGTGCAGGCTTCATCTCGGCCACAGCAAGAACAACGTATGCTGTCCGGCCACGTCCGAACCCCAGACCATACTCTGAAGTGCTGTCCAGGCGTGCTGCAAGATGATGCGTGCAGGCTTCTGTCGAGAGGGGAGTTGTCGAAACGCAACCACCCAAAAAACCACACTTTCACCCGTCCTGAGCATTGACAGTAGCTCAACACGCTGAAAGGTAGCTGCACAGTTCTATACGCCGCCAATAATAACCGGCGTCTTGATATTTTGTGCCCCCGAATGCGCTGCACCATGCACCAGCAAATCGTACTAACTGTGTGCTCCGAAGTATCTCGCACTGGTGCCGCGCTGAATCGAGGTCTCAGAACCTATTGTGGGATTTCCGTGTGGATCCCGGCAGGTGGTGGCAAAGGCTGACATCGACAGACGTTAGTCTGTCCAGCTAACTCGCAGGTAGCATGTGATGCTACTGCTGTAGACTTGTTGATGTTGAATGGGCGCTTGCGGCCAACAAAGACTTGTCGAGAACGATAGACTTTGGCAGTCTAGGGAAGAAGACAGGACAGTAGCAGAGTGAGAGAGAAGGGGGGCGAGCTTGGCTTCACCTCTTCTCTTTCTAGAATGGCAGACACACACGTGTTCTAGACTAGTTCTAGAGGCTGTCCTGGAAACAAACAGACCGGTCCGGGAACGTTCCGGGATCCGCAATACTGTTCCAGGAAGCAAAGGAGTCCTAGTTGGTTTCCTTGAACCAACTACTGTTCTTGAGAACGTTCGTCAAGACGTGGTGTAACCGTTCAGATCTCCACTGCCATGATACTACTGAACATTGACTTGTGTAGCCTTGCTAATTCATAACAATTCGATACAGCAGTACTCTCTTTTGTGTCTCCGTATTTGCATAGCCTTGATGGCCATGCCGCGGTGCACCAGCGCGGGAAGCCGACCAGCTTCTGTGCCCTTCCTGTCCAAACCTCTCCCTACACACCCCACGGCCTCGGGGAAGACTCGTTGTTGTCTGATGCGCAGGGAGGTCGGTCTTGCTCCTTCACCCCGGCGTCTCCTTCTGCTGCCAGATACAAGCCCTCTTGCATGTTTTCTTACGCCAAACAGCAGCAATGTCGATGACGGTGAGTAGACATGATGCCAACCTTTTTTGCTTCCGCCGGCCGCGTTCTGTTATTGCGACGTGATACGTCCGATGTCCGATCGATGCCCGTTGCTGTGTGGTGTCCAGGACCACTCGCAGGTCCCGTGCCCACACCGGCCCCGACTATTCCCCCATTCTCGTTCGAATACCCGGCGGTGGTAGAGAAGAAGACGTTCAGCTCCCAGTTGCGGGTCATGTTCCTCGTGGGATTGGAAGGTATTTTTTTTTCTTTGCATTATTTTGTTGTAGTACAGGACAGAATATGGGCTAATCAATTTGCGATGTATTTAGCTTCCAACAAATGGACTTGGAATTGATTTCCGCTTGTTGGACACTCGTTTTTACTTTTGCGCTTCGATCGTGCCCCGCTCTTTGTACCAGAACTTGCTTGTTTGCATCTTTGTACGGTGCAACAACAACAACGACAACAACAGCAACAGTAACAACAACACTCATGTGCTTGCCGTCCTTTCTCTCTCTGCAACAACGAAAACAACAACATACTTCTTCGCAACAACGACAACACAGGCACGGGCCACCACTACTTCTTGAACGTCTTCGACGACTTGTGCGCGACGGCCGCGGTGCCGTGCGCCAAGGCGTGCCCTGTCGCAAAGGCCCTCTACCCCAGCCTTGCCACGCCCCTCACGAAGGAGGACTACGAGAGAGCGCGTCGAGTGCTCCGGAGAGAACTGGTAACGTTGGAAATCCGTGCGAGGCTTTGTCCTTCCCCTCTTCTTTTCGTCGGCATGAACCAATCGGCTTTTCTCCCAATACGCCGCCTCCTCTTATCTTGCTCGTGCAACACGCGAGTTCGGCTATGTAGAAACAGCCTCTGTACTTTTTGTAGGGACGTTTTCCATGAAAACAGATTTGACCTATTTGGAACGCCCCGCGGAGATTAAGGCGACCGTGCCCTTCATTAAATCGCGGTTAGCTCCTTGAACGCTTCCGCGCTCATCATCGGTTGTCGATTTTTTTTTTTGTTGTCTATGAGTTAGTCCATGAGCGCACCTCTGTCTGGGTTAAGGTTAAGATAGGGTCCGTGGCGAACGCACGACGCAAATGAACCGTGTCGAACGATCAGCAATCGTCGTCGATGCACGCAAGCGCACGCTTGTGAAATACTTAGCCAAAATGAACCCCTTTGTCCCGAAGCATGTTCGTTTCTCCCCTCCCGTTTTGTCCATGAAAGGTCACCGCGCCACCCACCCGGTGGGGGACCAGGATTGCAAGCGTGCGCGCGCACCGTTATTGATCATCACCACCTCCGCAATTCCGCAGGAGAACCTGGCCACCTACCCCGCGGAATTCATGACGGAAGGGCAGGCGACCATCGCTCAATTCGTGACGTGCAACACGAAGGTTGGTGACCTTGGCTTGGAAGTATCCCCTGTGTTGGAAGGCGCGCCTTGCTGCTGCTGCGTGTGGTGGGTGGCCGTCGGCAGCCTTTTCGAGGAGTTTTTGCTTGGGGGGTACGGGGGTTAGGGTTAGGGAAACGAAGGCCCCGTCTCTATGTCATCAGTAATGATATCCTCACGACGGCGGTCCGTGGCCCTTTGTAGTCGAGTCACGTCAGAGGGGAGGGGAAGGAGGTGTGTTGGAACTAGTGCTTGGTGCCTGTCCTTCGTTAGCGTCTCCACTGTTGCCGGCTTCGGTCGTGGTGGGGAGGGGTGTACTCATAGTCGTGCATGCCATAGTCGTTAGACCATTGACTTCGCATCCCTACAAAGCCGGGACGGAGCACGCCGGGTTCTCACCGGACCAGGCTCTCACATCACCAAGCGCGAAGAGCCGTGAGGTATTCGGCGAGTCGCATGAAGGGTGCGCTGCATTCTGCGAAGGGTGTTCGGCATCTTGTGCTTACTTCCTTGCGTACGGATGACAGCTGCGTATGAATTAATTTATTTTCTGGTGCTTTCACTTCCAGAGACAGTTGTAAGCACTGTGTAACTGCCTCGAGGGTGCGTGACCATTTCAACACAATGTGGTGCGATCACCCCCCTTGCGCGGAGTGAGGGTTCTCCACCTCGCACAACATAATCTACTCCACCACCATCATGGTTACCGCCAAAAAAAAAACGGAGGTAAAAAAAAAAGTAACCTGGATGCCGAGTACACGATTTGAATCGGCTTGTTACAACGTCGTTGCCAAGCGACGAAAACCCAA